CCCTAGGAATCGTTCTGACAAAGACTCACATGTACCCTGATGTAGGCCCAGTGGGTGCTGGCTGGGCTGTCTCATATGCGAGACTCTGCTTAGCTGGTGAGGCGGGGGTCTGGTTGGGAGCCTCCCTCCCGACCTGGGGGGAGGACGAGCGTGACTCTTTGGGAGTGGACAGACTGACGACCCGAACGGGAGAGAATAAGGAATGACCAGAATGACCTCTCAATGACCAATCCTCCAATGGCCCTGAATGACAACGTGGGCAGGACTGCAGGGCCTTTATATGGGGGCCACACAGCCGGCGTTTGACCTGCGCCAATTAACACTAAACTGGTTAGATCTGGACAGCTGTGTCCAGGTGTGGTCATGCCCGGGTGTGTCTGTAGGTCAAGTCACATTGCTAACTTAAGTAATTAGTGGACGAGGTCAGGTCCCTTGGGTCCTGACCTTGGGTGTGTCAACCTGGTATGTTCGGGTACCACGAGGTCTGTACACTCACTGTTATATGTGTTGCAACTCCATGGGCTATAAGCTATGGTCTGATATTCAATCATTACAAGGCAGACAAGCACCAACGCCGGAAAGACACTGCCGCCGCTGCTACCACACTAGATGTAGCCCCCCACATCCAACATCTGTGATCTGACTCTGCCGGTCCCATGTCGGCCTCTTTAGTCACCTCAGAACTCACCAACGTAGGTGAATCCATAATAACTCGTATCATTTTATCATAGCTGAATGATCATCATACTCGATTCAGTGACAGCAAAGTAATAGTAGTGAAGAGAAGACGTTCGGATGTTGTTATGCACACTCTGAGTCTTTATCAGGGGATACGACTTCTTTATTTCCTGTCATCGTCTGTTGAAATAAAAAATATATTTCTTTTATTTATATATATATATATATATATATATATATATATATATATATATATATATATATATATATATATATATATATTATATTATTTATTTATTTATTTCTCTATCAATTTATGTTTTGTAAGTATCATTTTTTCTTTCAGTTTTGTAACGTTAGAATAGAGTGTTGCCAGATAAATATTATAGAATATGTATTAATTTTATCCTCTTCATTATCTCGAATTCGTCTTCGTAGAGTTGGCTAAGATAGTTTATTTATTACAGCTAATTGACCTCCATTGTAGTGAAGAGAATCATAAAGGTTCTTTCTCTCCCCTGTCTGTCAGGTTGTGTGGTATTAATGATGGACAGAAACGTGAACAATAAGTCAGACTGTAGTTTTATTTTTGTTGGGGGGTGTAAACTTTCAGGGAGTTAATGATTTGTCCCTTTATTCCCAGTTACTGTAAATATTTTGTAAGCATATACCAGTTTTAAATGATGTGTTATTTCATTCTTAATTACTTTAGATACAAAGTTCCAAAGTCTCAGTGTCAAAACATCGTAAGTTCCTTTTCATTTCTCTAACAGTTGAACAAGTGGAGCAGAAAGAGGCAGTGTTGGTAAATAGTCCAAGATGGAGTACAACAAGGGTGTGTGTTGTCACCATGGGAGTTTATGTGGGTTGTTGGTTGAAGGTAATACCACCAGCTTGGTTTATTTACAGAATTTATTAGCAAAAATATCCAATACAAGAACATTGTTTTATTATAAGCCCGAGTCAATATTAAAAAGCAATGTGAAATAATCAACCCTTAGAAGAATATTTTTGTGGTTATGCTGGGTTATAATTACTAGATTGTTTCGACTTCTACGGCTGAGAGAAAACAGGATGCTAGTGGGTGTGCTCACTCATGTTTTGGGGACGTTCTTGTGGTTGGTGTTCCTGTGACCTGTTTTTATGGTTAGTGTTCTTCATGTGTTCTGTTCTTTTGGTTGGTGTTCATTATTTCTGTTCTTGTGGCTGGTGATCTTCACGTGTCCTGTTCTTGTGGTTGGTGTTCATGTGTCCTGTTCTTATGGTTAGTGTTCTTCTTGTGTTCTGTTCTTGTAGCTGGTTATCTTCAAGTGTCCTGTTCTTGTGGTTGTTGTTCATGTTTTCTCGTCTTGTAGTTGCTGTTCATGTGTCCTGTTCTTATAGCTGGTGTTATTTATGTGTTCTGTTCTTGTAGCTGGTGTCTCTCTCGTGAGGTTGTCCGCTGGCCACACACCAACACTCTCCCAGGCTGGGATAATGAAGAACAACGGTCAATAATTTATGTACGACTCACAGTGAAACAATCAGTAGCCGTCTTATGTAGTCTTGACGGCCGCGTAAAGACTGTTGTCACTGGCGTAGCTGTGAAGACTTGCTGCAAGACCCTCAGCAGTGTGGCTTGAGGCGTTTTGTGCTTCACCTCTGTAGTCAGCAGCAGCGGTTGGCTGACCGGCAGTCTGTGACACTTGGGGGGACAAAATGATCATTACATCCGAGTTTTGTCCTGCACACCGACGCCCGAGTGCCGGTACTTCATGTGTGATGGTCGGGTTCACCTCAGCGGAGGAGAACCAGAGATTTTTTATGATGAATATAATGGCCAACAAACATGAAGCGGCTGATAATGAGCCTATTATAGTGAGCACCAGTTGGGTGATTGTGTCAGTTTTAGTTGTGTTTCCTGGCGTGGCTGTGGTAGATGAGGCAGACAAATAAATGGTAGGGGATGAAGCACTAGTTGTGTCTTGGCTGGAGGCAGTTGTGTCAGGGCTGGAGGCAGTTGTGTCACGGCTGGAGGCAGTTGTGTCAGGGCTGGGGGCAGTTGTGTCTTGGTTGTAGTGAACCAACTTGGAGTAACCAAACTGTGGTACATTGTTTACTCGTACATAATCAGACAAAACACCATGTAGGAATAATATTTTTAGGGGCGTCCTGCCGTCTGGCTTGAGTAAAGTAATGTTTAGTCCTTTGTCGTTTATCACCAGTTTAATATGTATCCATCCTTCTGTTGTGTGCATCGCCAGTGGTAGAAGAGCCGAGTCAGCTGGTGCTCCAGGACAGGTGTATTTTACCTGGACTACTATATCCTTACTTAGAGCCACGTCCACACACCCATACTCATTGTTGTCATCGTCGAGGAACACGAGTCTCGGAGCCCAGGTCTCACCTGTGAAGCCCTTGCCTCGGGTCATTATACTCAATATGGCAGGGATGTGGAGTCTCCCGGCAGTCTGTAGTCTCTCGCAGGGCAGGTGTTGACACTGAGGCGCCAGAGAGCCATCATCATCACGGGGTGGACGAGACAACTTAACACCTATATGATGATGTTCTCCCTGAGTTGTATTAACATTAGTTTCTTGTTCCACCTGAGTTGTACCTGTGACTGTTGGTGTATTGTTGTGTCCAGCAGCAGTAGCAGTGGTAGTTGGTGTTGAGAGGAGCGGCAGGGTGAGGGTGACCAGCATCACCCTCAACAACTGGTCCATGATGGTGTGTGGCCGTGATGGTGACACAACCAGCAGTGGGGACGTCACCCCAAGTAGCGCAGCTATGACTGTGTGAAGAGATTGGCGGATCCCCCACCCACCCACCCGGCCATTGCTGATGACAGAGGTGGTATTGGTTCTATATAATGAGGTGAATTTGTGGTGTCACTCTTTCCCTGTGCTCCTTAAGAATTGTTGATGTTTTTGTTAAATCTTCAAAAATTTAGATTAAATAGAATTGATTTATCGCATAAGTTGTCGTAGAGGTTCCAGATAATGTCACTATTTGCTATGCCGCAGAAACTTGGAAACTGAAAACACGGAAATGAACACAATTTTTTATTTTAAATCGTTGTAGACAAACTACCTGTGATCTTAGAACCTTTTGGTGAACAAGAAACTTATTTTGTGAACAGGAAGCAAATTATGAAGTGTTGCACCAAGTTCACATCATCAAGCACCTTAGTCGAGTTGGCTATAGACTTCTGGAGCCTTATAAATTCCCTGGCACCTCACCACGTCAAAATCCGGCTCGATCTTGATCATATATTTCACCGTTTTTATCCTTCGGTCATAAGGCTGGAGAGGTTTTTCCTGATCATGTAGACTGTGTGTCAGTCTATCCCTCAGTCTGTTAAATGTTGTCTACTTGTTATCTCTAAGATGAAGGTAAATAACTCCAAGAAACGCCGGTGGTCGAGGGATCTAGCACACTTTATTCAAACACATCTTTAATGTTTTTTTTCCGTCTCTCATTGTCATTATGAAAAGTAAAATCAAATCAAATAGCAAACAGTAGTCATCGACCAACTTATAATGAGCATAATAATAATGAATATTTCTTTAACTAAATAATAATGATTCTGTACATATCTCGTAGTTAACGCAAAGATGATGAAGTATTACAGTAGTAGTGATGTAGACGTCTTTATTAAATTGAAAAAATTTTTTGGGGAAAAGTAATTTGTTATGTCATTGTTGTTCAATATTTACTGAAAACTGAACAGAAATAAGAAATAGTGTTCAATGAATTAATAAAGTTCTTTAATATGGAATTATTGTAAGTCTGTGTTCTAGATCACCGCTGATGAATAAAACTGAAGAACAATTTACACTGCAGATAGTTTCAATATGGCCCTATATCTCCAGGCTAATGTTCTCGTGTTCTTCATGTGTCCTGTTCATGTGATTGACGTTCTTCATGTGATCTGTTCTTGTGGCTGGTGTTCATGTGCTCTCTTTTTGAGGTTGTTCATTTCTCCTGTTCTTGCAACTGGTGTTCTTCATGTGTTATGTTCTTGTGTCTTGTGTTCATGTGCTCTCTTTTTGTGGTTGGTGTTCATGGGTCCTGTTCTTGTGGCTGGTGTTCTTCATGTGTTCGTCTCTTAAGGTTAGTGTTCTTCATATGTCCTGTTGATGTGGTTAGCGTTCTTCATGTGTTCTGTTCATGTGGTTGGTGCTAATGTGTTATTTTCTTATTATGTGTTCTGCTCTTGACCTGGTGTACTTCGTGAGGTTGTCCGCTGGCCACACACCAACACTCTCCCAGGCTGGGATAATGATGAACAATGGTCAATAATTTATGTACGACTCACAGTGAAACAATCAGCAGCCGTCTTATGTAGTCTTGACGGCCGCGTAAAGACTGTTGTCACTGGCGTAGTTGTGAAGACTTGCTGCAAGACCCTCAGCAGTGTGGCTTGAGGCGTTTTGTGCTTCACCGCTGTAACCAGCAGCAGCTTGCCCTGTAGTGCCATGCCCATAACTATGACCTAAGTTAGCGGTTCGCTGACCGGCAGTCTGTGACACTTGGGGGGACAAAATGATCATTACATCTGAATTTTGTCCCGGACACCGAAGCCTGAGTGCTGGTACTTCGTTTGTGATGGTCGGGTTCACCTCAGCGGAGGAGAACCAGAGATTTTTGATGATGAATATAATGGCCAACAAACATGAAGCGGCTGATAATGAGCCTGTTATAGTGAGCACCAGTTGGGTGATTGTGTCAGTTTTAGTTGTGTTTCCTGACGTGGCTGTGGTAGGCTGGAGGCAGTTGTGTTTTGGTTGTAGTGAACCAACTTGGAGTAACCAAACTGTGGTACATTGTTTACTCGTACATAATCAGACAAAACACCAAGTAAGGACATTATTTTTAGGGGCGTCCTGCCGTCTGGCTTGAGTAAAGTAATGTTTAGTCCTTCGTCGTTTTTCACCAGTTTAATATGTATCCATCCTTCTGTTGTGTACATCGCCAGTGGTAGAAGAGCCGAGTCAGCTGGTGCTCCACGACAGATGTATTTTACCTGGACTAATATATCCTTACTTAGACTCACGTCCACACACCCACACTCATTGTTGTCTTCGTCGAGGAACACGAGTCTCGGAGCCCAGGACTCACCTGTGAAGTCCTTGTGTAAGATCATTAAGCTCACTATGGCAGGGATGCGGAGTCTCCCGGCAGCCTGTAGAGTTTCACAGGGCAGGTGTTGACACAGAGGCGCCAGAGAGCCATCATCATCACGGGGTGGACGAGGCAACTTAACACCTATATGATGATGTTCTTCCTGAGTTATATTAACATCAGTTTCTTGTTCCACCTGAGTTGTACCTGTGACTGTTGGTGTATTGTTGTGTCCAGCAGCAGTAGCAGTGGTAGTTGGTGTTGAGAGGAGCGGCAGGGTGAGGGTGACCAGCATCACCCTCAACAACTGGTCCATGATGGTGTGTGGCCGTGATGGTGACACAACCAGCAGTGGGGACGTCACCCCAAGTAGAGCAGATATGACTGTGTGAAGAGATTGACGGATCCCACCACCCACCCACCCGCCCATTGCTGATGACAGAGGTGGTATTGGTTCTATATATTGAGGTGAATTTGTGGTGTCACTCTTTCCCTGTGTTCCTTAAGAATTGTTGATGTTTTTGTTAAATCTTCAAGAATTTAGATTAAATAAAATTGATTTATCGTATAAGTTGTCGTAGAGGTTCCAGATAATGTCACTATTTTTATGCCGCAGAAACTTGGAAACTGAAAACTCGGAAATGAACGATTTTTTTCTTTAAATCGTTGTAGACAAACTACCTGTGATCTTAGAACCTTTTGGTGAACAAGAACCTTATTTGGTGAACACAAATATAATTAGAAGTGTTGCACCAAGTTCACATCATCAAGCACCTTAGTCGAGTTGGTTATAGACTTCTGGAGCCTTATAAGTTCCCTGGCACTTCACCACGTCAATATCCAGCGCGATCTTGATCATATATTTCACCGTTTTTATCCTTCGGTCATAAGGCTGGAGAGGTTTTTCTTGATCATGTAGACTGTGTGTCAGTCTATCCGTCAGTCTGTTAAATGCTGTCTACTTGTTATCTCTAAGATGAAGGTAAATAACTCCAAGAAACGCCGGTGGTCGAGGGATCTAGCACACTTTATTAAAACATGTCTCCTCAATATTACCATGTAATTCAATTGATAGTAGGAACATCATAGAATCTAGTCTTATTAAACATACCGAAGCATTCAACATGAATTTGAGTAACGGCATGTACAAGCTGGACAATTTTGTAATTAAGAAGATTTGTGATCAGGTGAGAAGGCCGGGTCACTTGACCATCTGACCTGACCACCAACCGTTGTGGACCTGGTCTCACCCTCCTCTGTATATATACACCTTGATTTGTATTACTCTCTCTAGTCTGTACTCACCCCTGAAGATGTGAATTACACGAAAGCGCTTGGGAACTTCGTGTTTTCTTCTTTCCTTGTGGTCATCAGCATATATATATGTATATATATATATATATATATATATATATATATATATATATATATATATATATATATATATATATATATATATATATATATATATATATATATATATATATATATATATAATATATATTTCATGTAAATCCACAATGAAAACGTGGATAAGATAAATCTTGATAGAAACTCGGGTACCCTTCTGTGTTTGTTGATCGTTGTTTTAAAAGGGCCAAAAAATCCTTTCATTCCTCGCAAACCAGACAAGTTCCTACACTTAAGAATATTTTGACTCTGCCCTGTCGTAATGAATTTGTCCCCTTAGTTCGGTCCCTCAAGCTTCTAAATATTAATGTTGTTTTCAAGTATGACTCTACCATTACCAATATGTTAATAAGGAATAGCCCAAGTTTGAATGTAAATGGAAGTGTTTATTGTATTCCATGTAGCAAATGTAATTGTAATTATGTAGGACAAACAGGAAAAACACTGCAGCTCAGAATCAAACAACATAAGTATAATATCAGAACAGCATCTGAAAGCAGTGCCTTGTTCGTTCATGTTAGGAATAATAATCACCCCATTGCTTGGGAAAAAAGCTTGGAAGTATTTAAATCATCTTGTGTCACAGAAAGACTTCTGGTTGAAGCTAGTTTGATTAAGGAATTAAAATCAATAAACCTTAGTGATGGTCAGTTCAAAACTGATATTATGTTACATAAATTTATTTGTCAGTGGCCCAAGGTTAAAAATGCTTTGAAAACCTTTGATCTAGATGTATGATAGTTATTTTGTGGGTCCCTTTTTTCTGACCTGACCTGGCTAGTCACGTCACCACCCTTCTCTTAAGCTCCTCTACGTTTGTGTTGGTGTGGGGATTAGTGGATGTCAGGTTATGAAGGAACCTCATGTGTTTTAAGTCAAGAATATATTCCAAGCCTTCTTCCATGGGTCAGTTGCGGGTCTAGAAGATGAGTGAATAAGGTAGCTTGGTTAGAGTTGTTTAATTTTCCGGTGATTTTATCCAAGATATCATATATATTATATAGGATATATATATATATAGGGTAGGATATATATATATAATGTGTATTGCAGTAGTAGTAGTTCGATGTCAGGTTTTGGCTGATAAACTTCTTGTATAAAATTTAGTGTGAAAACATATGCCGAAGGGTTAAACTTTTGGTGCGCTCTGCCTTGTGGTACTGTAGGGCTCTATTAATGTTTCACGAGTTATATTTAATCTTCGGACAAAACCGCGACACGACTTTTGTCTTTGATTGTACAGAGAATTTATAACGTTCTTTATTATGCGATTATTGTAAGTCTGTGTTCTAGATCACCGTTGATGTACAAAACTGAAGAACAATTTACACTGTAGATAGTTTGAGGATGGCCCTATATCTCCAGCCAGGTGGGTGTATCATCAATGGCTCAGTACCTCCAGGTGTGTGTATCATCAATGGCTCAGTACCTCCAGGTGTGTGTATCATCAATGGTTCAGTACCTCCAGGTGTGTGTATCATCAATGGCTCAGTACCTCCAGGTGGGTGTATCATCAATGGTTCAGTACCTCCAGGTGTGTGTATCATCAATGGCTCAGTACCTCCAGGTGGGTGTATCATCATGAATGGGGAGTCTTATTAACTTATTTTTTAGAAAATATATCTCAAGAAATTGAAGCGGAGATGGAAAGTCCAAAAAAATCATTTGTTTAGCCTAAAATTCTTGCTATGATGAGGGCCATATAGATGGCCATGTCCTGTTTCAAACCATTTTCTGGATTACTAATGCAAAAATAGCCACACTGAGAACCACTACCAGGACCACTATAACCGTGTCCACCATCAACAGCCCCCGGTACAATGAACTGAAGCTCGAGTTGATTGTCCAAGACGTGGCTGGTGGAGGGAGACAGGTGGCAGGAGATGTAGCAGTTGTGTCTGGGCTGGAGGCAGTTGTGTCTTGGCTGGAGGCAGTTGTGTCTTGGCTGGAGGCAGTTGTGTCAGGGCTGGAGGCAGCTGTGTCTTGGCTGGGGGCAGCTGTGTCTTGGTTGTAGTGAACCAACTTGGAGTAACCAAACTGTGGTACATTGTTTACTCGTACATAATCAGACAAAACACCAAGTAAGAACAATATTTTTAGGGGCGTCCTGCCGTCTGGCTTGAGTAAAGTAATGTTTAGTCCTTCGTCGTTTATCACCAGTTTAATATGTATCCATCCTTCTGTTGTGTACATCGCCAGTGGTAGAAGAGCCGAGTCAGCTGGTGCTCCACGACAGGTGTATTTTACCTGGACTAATATATCCTTACTTAGACTCACGTCCACACACCCACACTCATTGTTGTCATCGTCGGGGAACACGAGTCTCGGAGCCCAGGACTCACCTGTGAAGTCCTTATCTGGGGTCAATAAACTCACTATGGCAGGGATGTGCACTCTCCCGGCAGCCTGTAGAGTCTCACAGGGCAGGTGTTGACACTGAGGCGCTAGAGAGCCATCATCATCACGGGGTGGACGAGACAACTTAACACCTATGTGATGATGTTCTTCCTGAGTTATATTAACATCAGTTTCTTGTTCCACCTGAGTTGTACCTGTGACTGTTGGTGTATTGTTGTGTCCAGCAGCAGTAGCAGTGGTAGTTGGTGTTGAGAGGAGCGGCAGGGTGAGGGTGAACAACATCACCCTCAACAACTGGTCCATGATGGTGTGTGGCCGTGATGGTGACATATTCAGCAGTGGGGACGTCACCCTAAGAAGAGCAGATATGACTGTGTCGAGAGATTGGCCGACCCCCCACTCACCCATCTTTCCCAGACCTCCCCCCCCCCTCATTACAGACGACAGAAGTGGTGCTGGATTCAACATAATCAGGTGAATTTAGGGTGGTTCTCTTTCCCTATGTTCCTTAAGAATTGTTAATGTTTTTGTTAAATCTTCAAGATTTTAGATTAAATAGAATTGATTTATCGCATAAGTTGTCGTAGAGGTTCCAGATAATGTCACTATTTGTTATGCCGCAGAAACTTGGAAACTGAAAACTTGGAAATTATCACAATTTTTTACTTTAAATAGTTGTAGACAAACTACCTGTGATATTAGAATCTTTTGGTGAACAAGAAACTTATTTTGTGAACAGGAATATAATTAGAAGTGCTGCACCAAGTTCACATTATCAAGTACCTTAGTCGAGTTGGTTTTAGACTTCTGGAGCCATATAAGTTCCCTGGCACCTCACCACGTCAAAATCCGGCTCGATCTTGATCCTATATTTCACCGCTTTTATCGTTCGGTCATAAGGCTGGAGAGGTTTTTTCCTGATCATGTAGACTGTGTGTCAGTCTATCCCTCAGTCTGTTAAATGTTGTCTACTTGTTATCACTAAGATGAAGGTAAATAACTCAAAGAAACGCCGGTGGTCGAGGGATCTACCACCCTTTATTCAATCATATCATTAATGTTTTTTCCGTCTCTCATTGTCATCATGAAAAGTAAAATCAAATCAAATAGCAAACAGTCCTCATCGACCAACTTATAATGAGCATAATAATAATGAATATTTCTTTAACTAAATAATAATGATTCTGTACATATCTCGTAGTTAACGCAAAGATGATGAAGTATTACAGTAGTAGTGATGTAGACGTCTTTATTAAATTGAAAAAAAAATGATTTGGAAAAGTAATTTGTTGTGTCATTGTTGTTCAATATTTACTGAAAACTGAACAGAAATAAGAAATAGTGTACAATGAATTTATAAAGTTCTGTAATGTGGAATTATTGTAAGCGTGTGTTCTAGATAACCGCTGATGAATAAAACTAAAGAACAATTTACACTGCAGATAGTTTCAGTATGGCCCTATATCTCCAGGCTAATGTTCTCGTGTTCTTCATGTGTCCTGTTCATGTGATTGACGTTCTTCATGTGTCCTGTTCTTGTGGCTGGTGTTCATGTGCTCTCTTTTTGAGGTTGTTCATTTCTCCTCTTCTTGTAACTGGTGTTCTTCATGTGTTCTTGTGGCTGGTGTTCATGTGCTCTCCTTTTGTGGTTGGTGTTCATGGGTCCTGTTCTTGTGGCTGGTGTTCTTCATGTGTTCGTCTCTTAAGGTTGGTGTCCTTCATATGTCCTGCTGATGTGGTTAGCGTTCTTCATGTGTTCTGTTCATGTAGCTGGTGTCTCTCTCGTGAGGTTGTCCGCTGGCCACACACCAACACTCTCCCAGGCTGGGATAATGATGAACAATGGTCAATAATTTATGTACGACTCGCAGTGAAACAATCAGCAGCCGTCTTATGTAGTCTTGACGGCGGCGTAAAGACTGTTGTCACTGGCGTAGCTGTGAAGACTTGCTGCAAGACCCTCAGCAGTGTGGCTTGAGGCGTTTTGTGCTTCACCGCTGTAACCAGCAGCAGCTTGCCCTGTAGTGCCATGCCCATAACTATGACCTAAGTTAGCGGTTCGCTGACCGGCAGTCTGTGACACTTGGGGGGACAAAATGATCATTACATCTGAATTTTGTCCTGGACACCGAGGAGTGAGTGCCGGTACTTCGTGTGTGATGGTCGGGTTCACCTCAGCGGACGAGAACCAGAGATTTTTGATGATGAATATAATGGCCAAAAAACATGAAGCGGCTGATAATGAGCCTGTTATAGTGAGCACCAGTTGGGTGATTGTGTCAGTTTTAGTTGTGTTTCCTGACGTGGCTGTGGTAGGTGAGGCAGATGATGTAGTGGCTGTGTCTTGGCTGGAGGCAGCTGTGTCAGGGCTGGAGGCAGTTGTGTTTTGGTTGTAGTGAACCAACTTGGAGTAACCAAACTGTGGTACATTGTTTACTCGTACATAATCAGACAAAACACCAAGTAAGGACATTATTTTTAGGGGCGTCCTGCCGTCTGGCTTGAGTAAAGTAATGTTTAGTCCTTCGTCGTTTTTCACCAGTTTAATATGTATCCATCCTTCTGTTGTGTACATCGCCAGTGGTAGAAGAGCCGAGTCAGCTGGTGCTCCACGACAGATGTATTTTACCTGGACTAATATATCCTTACTTAGACTCACGTCCACACACCCACACTCATTGTTGTCTTCGTCGAGGAACACGAGTCTCGGAGCCCAGGACTCACCTGTGAAGTCCTTGTGTAAGATCATTAAGCTCACTATGGCAGGGATGCGGAGTCTCCCGGCAGCCTGTAGAGTTTCACAGGGCAGGTGTTGACACAGAGGCGCCAGAGAGCCATCATCATCACGGGGTGGACGAGGCAACTTAACACCTATATGATGATGTTCTTCCTGAGTTATATTAACATCAGTTTCTTGTTCCACCTGAGTTGTACCTGTGACTGTTGGTGTATTGTTGTGTCCAGCAGCAGTAGCAGTGGTAGTTGGTGTTGAGAGGAGCGGCAGGGTGAGGGTGACCAGCATCACCCTCAACAACTGGTCCATGATGGTGTGTGGCCGTGATGGTGACACAACCAGCAGTGGGGACGTCACCCCAAGTAGAGCAGATATGACTGTGTGAAGAGATTGACGGATCCCACCACCCACCCACCCGCCCATTGCTGATGACAGAGGTGGTATTGGTTCTATATATTGAGGTGAATTTGTGGTGTCACTCTTTCCCTGTGTTCCTTAAGAATTGTTGATGTTTTTGTTAAATCTTCAAGAATTTAGATTAAATAAAATTGATTTATCGTATAAGTTGTCGTAGAGGTTCCAGATAATGTCACTATTTTTATGCCGCAGAAACTTGGAAACTGAAAACTCGGAAATGAACGATTTTTTTCTTTAAATCGTTGTAGACAAACTACCTGTGATCTTAGAACCTTTTGGTGAACAAGAACCTTATTTGGTGAACACAAATATAATTAGAAGTGTTGCACCAAGTTCACATCATCAAGCACCTTAGTCGAGTTGGTTATAGACTTCTGGAGCCTTATAAGTTCCCTGGCACTTCACCACGTCAATATCCAGCGCGATCTTGATCATATATTTCACCGTTTTTATCCTTCGGTCATAAGGCTGGAGAGGTTTTTCTGATCATGTAGACTGTGTGTCAGTCTATCCTCAGTCTGTTAAATGCTGTCTACTTGTTATCTCTAAGATGAAGGTAAATAACTC